TGCAAACTCACTATTCTTCCACTTCACTTCGAGTGAATACTGGTGAAAAGGGGATTTCTGGTCATTTTCGGCACTTTTTGGACTATTTCACCGCTGTGAACATACTGATTCACTTGTCAAGTAATCGTAATCGATAGAGCTGTTTTTTCTCTACAGTATGAGATGAAAATGTTGAATCGAACAAGTGGACAGCACGATCCTAATTCCATAAAACCTAACAATCTGTGACTTTTTAGAGCGATTATCTACGTCTGTGACAATCTGCGATAGTCTGGAGGGCTTTTCAACCTATTTGTTACGGTATGTGACTCTTTAGAGCGGTTGTCGATATGTATATCATGGTTTGTGATGGTGTAGAGGATTTTTCGACATTTGGATTTTCGAATTCACTATGGGCTCGATAGATGTGGGGTGGTTTTATTTCATGAAAAAAGTGACTCTATCTTGTTTCACATTTTAATCCCGTAGGGATTGCGCTGAAAGATTTACTTGACTGAAACATTTGGCAAAATGTCCAATCGTTGCTGTCTTCTAGCAACACAATAAACACCAAACCCCTCACAAATATGATATGTAATAAATAAATCATCTAGAGAAACGACAATGAGTTTATGTTACTGTTGGACAGTTGTTTGTCTTCTTCAGTCGTGTTACTTTTATTATCAAATTTTAGCCAGTTTCAAGAAAAAAATCGTCGTAACCTTTCGCAGAGAGTTTACATGTCGATATACTAATTACTTTTTGTTAGTCCACACGGTCATTTTTAGAGAAAGAAATAAAAGATATTTTTTTACTACAGAAATTTTAAAAAATTAAAAGTGAAACATAATTTCTGTGTAGGTAAAGCTTGCTGTCATTAATTCTCGGTTTTTTGTAGGCACGATCCACTGGCCAGTAGACAAAACCATCTTTAGCGTGCTGCTGATAACGATTTGCATAGCGGGCCAAGGAGGATGAACGACAATGTTTTATTAAATCTTCGGTTCTTGGACGCCAGTTCATTGAGGATTTCGTAAGTGAAGTATTGAACGGCTGCGATTTCATAAGACAAGTACATTCAGCTCGTGGTGAACCGTAAATATGAGAGATCTGTGAAAAGAAGAAGAGAGATATGAAATCCAACTGAAAGTAATTTCTTGCTCCTTTTTTTCTATGTTTTTTTTTTGTACGAAGGTTCTTGATTTGCAGATCAGATGAAAATATTAAAAAAAGGAATGAACCCCTGTTGTTGTCTAACGTTTTCAGTTCTTGTTTCTATAATTAGAGAACATCGACTCTCTGCTAACTTTTATTTTTTAATGGGCGAGAACGTGAGCTAGTACTAGTGCTGATATTCATTAAAGTTGTATTAACGTTGAAGCATTCGTCTACAAAAAGTTTTTTAGTGATTTTCGACTTCCTAAACTAACAGAATTATTTCGTCAGTTGTAGTAAAGAAAACTCTGCATGACCGATCTAACTAAAACTAAACATACCTCGTCATTGTTTCTGGTGTCTTCTCTTTTTCTTCGATTCTCACCAACAATGCCATTATTCCTAGCTGAGTATGGAATGTTATTTAAGCTTTGTGCTTCGCGTAGAGTTCGATGTTGATGGATGTTGTACATGATTTCAAGAAGAAAGAAAAAGAAGTGTTACTGACTACTGTTAGAATAGTGTAATTGAAGCGAGTAGATGAAGAAGAAACGACTTTTTATACACAACATCAAAAGAACAACTGATTTTTAATCCCATCAATAATAATGGAAGAGGGAAAACAATAAAATGTGTTATTGTTGATTGATTTAATGTCACACAAATTATCAAAAACAACTTGCAGTGTACACTTTTCTTTCCCAAGAGAGGGTGTGGGTGTGGAATAAGACACGATCCACTCCAACACTTCACCCACACCCACACCCATACTCACACCCACATCTATACTCACACCCACACCCACACCCATACCCATACTCACCCCCACACTCATACTCACACCCACACCCACACCCATACTCACACCCTTCACCCACACCCACACCCATACTCACACTCACACCCACATCTATACTCACACTCACACCCACACCCACACCCTCACACCCACTCATACCCACAACCCACACCCACACCGACACCCACACTCACCCACACCCATACTCGCACCCACACCCACACCCACACCCACTCACACCCACAACCCACACCCACACCGACACCCACACTCACCCACACCCACCCACACCCATACTCACACTCACACCCACACCCAAACCCACACCCAAACCCACACCCACACTCACACTCATACTCACATCCACACCCACCCCCACACTCACACCCACACATACCCACAACCCACACCCACATCGACACCCACACTCACTGACACCCACACTCACCCACACCCACGCCCACACTCATACTCGCACCCACACCCACACCCACTCACATCCACAACCCACACCCACACTCACCCACATCCATATCCACATTCAATGCATTCTGAGTACGAATGAATGAAAGCACCATGGTAACATCCTTCTTGAAACAAATGGTAGTGGTACAAAATCAGAACATGGTGCTGTGTTTGTTAAGTAATATCTCGGTTTTTGATACAGACATTCAAGATTCGAGTCCGAGCATCTTCTTGTGTCTGTGTTATTTGATCGAAGTTAAACATAATATATTGTCTCTGCTAAATACTCTTGGTGTTTGTGACAGTGAAAAGTACCACCTTGCTCCTTTATTCTTGCCTAGTTCTGTAGGAGGGTGTGGGTGTGGGATGTGGGGTATGGATGTGGATGGGTGTGGGTATGGGACGTGGGGTGTGGGTGTGGGTGTGGGTGTGGGTGTGGGTGTGGGTGTGGGTTTGTGTGGGTGTGGGTTTGTGTGGGTGTGGGATGTGGGGTATGGATGTGCGTGTGGGTGTGGGTGTGGTTTAGTGTTGTTGTGGGTGTGGGTGTAGGTTAGTGTGGGTGTGGGTGTGGGTGTGGGTGTGGGTGTAGGCTAGTGTGGGTGTGGGTGTGGGTTTGTGTGGGTGTGGGTGTGGGTGTAGGTGTGGGTGTGGGTTTGTGTGGGTATGAATGTGGGGTATGGATGTGGGTGTGGGGTGTGGAGTGTGGGTATGAGTATGGGTGTGGGTGTTTTTAACAGATAATCTGAACTCACACCGACACTCACACCCTATAATTTTATTCTATGATTTAATATTGATGCAGTCTTGCAACTTAACATACACAAAGAAGATATTTATATTTCAATTTCTGAATCAATGTATGTTTGTAATGATAAAAGCATTGAATAATTCCATTGGTTTTCCAGCATAGAATCAGTTTTTGATCGATATAAAAATCATCAAATTCGTTACATCAATAAACAGTAGTCTGATCATTGCGCAATAGTGACCAATTTTTCAATTGAATATATTCATCAATGAAATTGAATAAGCTTTATTAAAATTTTCCGCTTCAACTACCAGGTTAGGTTTTTTATAGCTTTCTGTTTTTGTTCACTTTTTCATTTCTTCTGTAATTTTCTATATTATGGTTCATCGTTTTATCCTTTGTATAACACTCTGTGCTGTTGTTTGTTAAGAAATTGTTTTCCGTTTTTAATGCTTTGAATCTTTTGTGTTGGAGATTATTACGCAGAACCCTGATGAGCATTTTGTATTTCAATAAAGTACACGAAACGCGTGAGCGAATTGGATTCTGCATTTCTTTGATTGTTTCTGTTACAAATCGCAATAACTGATTTTTTAAACAAATTTAACTTGGATAAAAAAATCGATTGCTGAAAAGTAGGAGCTTAAAACAAATAGATTGCATTTGTCTTTTCTTCAAGATAGATAGGTCAGTCTGCTTTTCCATTAACTATGGAAGAATTTCAGAACCTCTTTTAGCCATAACAATCGTTGATTAATATGTCAAAAAATTGTCTCGCCGCCACTGTAAATTTGTACTTTTTGTTGAACGTGAGTTCAGTTGTTATTATTCAACGGTACTAACCGGCAATAGATTATAAGAGAAATGCTAAAGAAGAACAGCGTAACGAGAAAACATATATATATAGTAGTGAACAATTTTTTTTATGTATTAGTGTGTTTTCATCTTCTCTTTGTCTGCTTGAATTGATCTATCAATCAGTACATATACATTCAAGTATGCTCTATCCGAATATCAACTTATAATCTTTTTACACCTATTTATTTTCATTAAAAAAGTCGAACACGAAAAAGTGTTTTTGATCTGGCCAAAATTATAAGAACAAAAAAAATGTTTATATAACCTTTTTCATAAAATCGAGTCAATATTTTGATGAAGTACTTCCTTTTACATGAATACATTTTTTTATACGTCTAGGCATCGATCGAACTAAATTTTCACATGTTTCAGTTGGTATATCTCTCCATAATTCCAGAATAGCTTCTTGAAGCTCATTAACATTGTTCTAACGATAGTTGATGAGTTTTTTATCGATTATATCCCATAAATTTTCAATTACATTTAAATCCGGCGATACTGCCGGCCAATCTAAAACATTAAATTTATTCTTCTTAAACCAGTTCATACTAAAAACTGATTTGTGGCACGGCGCATTGTCTTGTACATAATACCATGAATCACTTCGATCGAAATTTTTTTAATATATGGTAATAATTCAGATTCGATAAGATTGATATCATTTTGGCTATTCATTCGACCATCATAAAAACTGAAGGACCAACTCCTTTGACTGTCATAACTCCTCACACGTTAATCGATCCACCACCACCTTGCAGACATGGTTGAAAATTAAATGGTTTATCAGATTCCGATGGAAGACGACGTACGAAAGATCGATTTTCTTTTATTCAAAACTTCGAAATGAGATTCATCAGAGAAAATAACATTTTTCCAGTCACTAAAATTCCAATCAGAATATTTTTTAGCAAATCGTAATCGAGTAGAACAATGACTAGGTTTTCAGTACGGTTTCCGTTTCGTCGTATAACTTCTGTAATCAGCATTAAATAAGCGTCAACACACTGTTCGTGGACTAATCGATTTCCCATTTGATGAATTCAATTCGGATGCTAATTGTCGACTACTTTTTCCACGATCGTTCCTTATTAAATTCAATAAACGAAGATCTTCTTTCGACGTTGTCGACTTTTTTCGACCTTGACCGGGACGATTTTCCAATGGTAATTTTAATTTTTCTTTTTTTGCAATATTACTAATACAACCATTTGAAACAACAAGTTGATGTCGAATATTTTCATATGTAAAACCAGCTTGTAAGAGTGTAAGGACTTGCAATTTTTGATATATTGTGACTTTTTTCGACCCATTTATTTTGTAACGAAGAATGTAAAACAAATTATGTCCAACCTATGAATAGTGTACACAAACAACAAAAATAGTAATTAAAAGAAAAGAAAACATACGCGAGTGATTCATCACTATCATTTTCTTGACTGTCGTCCGTTCTGTGCAATAGGCTATATAAACATTTTTGTTCTTATAATTTTGACCAGGTCAAAAACATTTTTTTCTGTTCGATTTTTTTTATGAAAATAAATAGGTTTAAAAAGATTATAAGTTGATATTCGGATAGAGCAGACTTGAATATATATGTACTGATTGATAGAACAATTCAAGCACACAAAGAAAAGATGAAAACACACTAACACACAAGAAATTTTTTTTCTTATAATTTTGTCCACGACGGTATATATATGGGTAGATATATGTCTATAAAATGGAAGAAAAGAAAAAACTATACATGATGTATATGAACAGAATGGGAAACTACCACCATGATGTCCTATGTTTTATAGAGACATCACCAATATGTATATTAGAAAATATCTACAGTTAGCACTATATAAATCAACCTTATTAGTAAGAGAAAAATCGACGCGCAGCGCCACAAACAGCAAAAATGATAGCAATAATACCAATCATCAGAGTGATGAAAATAATCGTATGACTGTAACCAGAAGCATTATAATTACCAGCAGGACTCTCAGGTTGCACATGAGAACTAGAACAAATATCGTGACCAATCGAAGAAATGTCAAAATTTGGCAGATCCTCAGCAAGAACACCAATGGCAGTCGAATGTAAAGCGAGACGGTTCCATTCTACTGTTTTGTTCATTAAAAAGTAAACGTCTTGAGCTTATTAGCAAATCAAAAACTACATCGCAAGTGAATTTTGTATAGAGAAATCAGAAACGGTAGAAAGAGAAAAAGAATCAGAAGGCGGTCGAAAAGAATTAAGCCGTGAAGTAGAAGAAATAGGAGAATGAGGCGGAACAGAAATAGGAGAAGGAGAGAAGGGAGCGAGAGGGGAGGATGGAACAGGATAAATCAGGTGAGGAGAAACAGAATGATCAAGAGAACGAAAATGAGAATGATCGCGAGAAGAAGAATGGGAGTCAGAAGGGTCAACAAAAGAAGAATGGGAATGAGAATGTCTACGAGAAGAAGACGGAGACAAAGAACGATCTTGCGAAGAAGAACGAGTAGCAGCACGATCATGAATCAATGAAGGACGAGAAATACGAAGATTATTAGAAGAAATAGAAACAGAAATAGAAATCGAAGAAGCAGCAGACGAATGATGATGATGATGAGAATGAGACGTACGACGACGACGACGATCAGATTTTTTTTGAGAAGATGGCATAATTTTTTATGTAGAAGATTTTTGGCCTTCTAAATGAGAGATTCAATGCTTCAAAATGGAATAAAAAAACAAGTCTAATTACTGTTCTTTTCAAGTATTAGAAAATCCAAAAAAAAAATGAAACTTCGGATATCAGTGTTCATGCAAACTAGGTGTGGGATGTGGATTTATTGTGGGTATTGTTTAAATCCACAGAAGCGCCCACATTTATACCCATGCTCCAAATATCACTGCTACCGTCAAACCTTAAACCAGACTCACACCTACCCGTTTCGTTTTTCGAAAATGTTTTCATTGTTCGGGTCATTTATACTAATCAATCACATCAGAACGCGTCTTGGTCCTGTTAGAGCCATTTCAGATTGTCATGTATCGAATATCAACAGGATATCGACATTCACACTATCCAAAGTAAAATTGTGTATGACTTAGCAGGTATTCATCAAGAAAGCAACGGAGTCGGCCTTCAAAGCCTCACTAGATCGGTTCCACCGTATTTTGATCATCTCAATGTTTAAATTCGACTTTTCTCTAAGCAATAACTACGAAGCATTGTGAAAAAATATTTGATTACCGATACTTACCTCAAAATAAACAGTGACTGCTGAAAACAGTTTATATAAGCTGTGACAGATGGAAAGAAAAATATTTTTGTTAGTGCACACTGCTTGTTCTTATCGATCGAGCTGCTGAGTCATCAATAACGATGCCGAAGAGCGCTACACTGAAAGAATGAAAAAGAATGAAATGAAAATTATTTAGCATGTATTTCTGTTCTCCCTCTCAGCTCCTGACGACAACGGCATGGTAACTTCCAAGTTGCAGCAAATTCTGTCCCTGAGAACTGTGGGGGTGGGGTATGTGTGGGTGTCCGTGTGGAGTGTGGGTGTGGATATTCCATCTAAATAGTTACCCACACCGACGCTTACCTACATCCACATCCACACCCACACTCCACACACAAGACTGACTTTTGCTCGAAAAGTTACTGCCAACTTCTCTTAGAAATAAAAAGGTTAGTTGCCGTTTCTCGTAGAAATATTTTTTTGACTTGAATTGCGTTTGAATCGCGGCCTATATGTGCACGAAACGTAAGGAACACAGGTATCTCGCATGAAACATTTTGGCATCTAATGGCACTTATAAACTAAACTAAACGGCGTCCAGATACGATCCAAAGAAAATAGAAAAAATCTAAATAAATTTCAGTCATCAACATCATCTTGAACAAGCGGACTATTGACCAAATATCGTTCATATACATCACTAAGTTATGCTGACTCGGAATTTTTCTCGTTCAAAATAAAATATATTTTAACTCAAATTTCGTCTTTTGAGTTTTCTGTGTCACAACTCTTACTTTTATGTGAATGCAAAATACTCAACACTTCATATAGTTTTTTATATTTTATTTCCGAATTAAATGATAGATTTTTTTATCTTCTCTAATCATGATTACAAGAAAAGGATTTTTTAATACCGCGGCGCCAACATGATGGATGGTTTATCTAAGATTTTAGAAAACGCAAAATTAGATAACGTATTCTTTTCTCTTCTAGATCAACGACTATTCGACGTTGGAAGTACGCGGCATATCCAGTAGTTTGATTGGGTTCCGTTTGGCATCATTATTTTGTTGTTTATCAATCACTCCACTATTGCACACTGCCTTCTCATATCGAATCAGTTGCATAAGAAAACCAAAATTTGGTGAAGATATAGGACGCCGATCGAGCAAATAATCGTAAACTTTCATCAAAGTATCATGATGATGTCTAGAATGAAATATTTGATCAATTTTGAACACAAAAATAAATCTTACTTCATTAGATAAGCGAAAACGACGGAGGATGATTGAGAAATATCCATCCTACAGTGAACCAATACTTTTTCCTTCTTCTCCTCACACGAAAGCAAAAAGTCATTCGTTTACTGAAAATGTTGATTGATATTGACATCTTCATCATCCTCTATTCTAATCCATAATACATTGAAATTTTTGTGATTTTTGTTTCCAACGGTTCATTACAGATGTGTACGATATGTCGAATGCCAAGATTCATCAGCAAGTTAATGTTGCTACCATGACCCATATCGTCATGATAGAGAAAGCCGGCAATCACCACTGATGGATTATCATCATCGTTTCACATTAGTCTCCTTTTTTGATTTTGAAGTTCCACTAATCTAGCAAAGTATGTCAACTCTTCATTTGTGGCTTTCAGTTCATCTTTCAAATGTTTCAACATCCATGAATTAATAAAATTCGGTTATCAGTGAAGTTGTATTTTCGATCATATTCTTCTTTTTTGCTGTCTTAGTGCCTAAGACACGTCATCTAAAGTGCAAGTTAGTTTTGGACATGCACTTGCTCACACGGATATTCATGCATTGCATCTCACATCACCATGACATAAAAAAACTCCACATATCAAAGATGCACAAGATATCTTCTGACTGCTCAACCGCATATTTTCAAAATTCTATTTTCTGTTTAATATTTACACAGATAGATTTAGTTGAAGGCGACAAGTTTTTGCATTCCTTGATCAACTCTCATAAAAATATGATCTTCTTGATTATCTCATTAACATCTCTCAAACTAGAAAGAATTGACGAAACAATCTTTTTTGATATTTAATAGGATCCCAAAAATAAAGAACGAACCAGAGATGGACAAATTCGCACCGCGCCTCCCCGCGCTTCCCCGCGCCGTTGCTCACGCCTACGCTACACTAGTCTGAGCTTCGATGAGCGCATGCTTAGAGCATCCCGGTATTCGGTGGAGTTTGAGAAACTGATTGGTAGAGCAAAGAGAAAGAGAGATGTGCGTAGCGCCGAGGCGCGAGCAGTGGTGCGGAGAAGCGCGGGGAGGCGCGGTGCGATTTTGTCCATCTCTGGAACGAACCATCATAGCTCAATAGTCCAAGTTGGCAGAAAAATTTTATGAATACACTTTGTTTTTGAGAGTTTCTGCGATCTCAACCCAAAGTCATAAAATGACAGCTGCTGGAGAACTGTTATAACATGAAATGAACCCACGGATAGATGAGCAATTTATATAAGAAGTTAGAATTATTAATTTCATGATTCGAATAATGATCTTATACTAACAATGACAGTTTTAGTGTGGGTAAGTCTCTATTCATTATTCAGCTACGAAAGAAATGATGAATTTGATCAGGACAAATTTTCATCTTGATTTTAGAAAGCTTGTGAAAAGTTATCAACGCAGTTTGTCTAGATAGTTATTATAGACTTCATTTGTATTTGAAGTATCGATGACAAAGATAAGATGTAAACAATTTGTCGTTTCTTTTTACTTTGTTGACTTATATTCACGTAAAAGTATAGACTCATTCTTATGCCATATTGCTTATGACACAAATAAGGGTGTGAATCCTCCGTTTTTCACTTGTAGTATTTATAACACAATTAATGATGCGATTTTATCAAACCAGTAGTCTAAATATAAGCAGGTTTTTTTCCTAGGTAAATATTGATAATTTTTACTGTTCTTATCTATTCATAAGACATCAGTTAGGTTTTCTTTTTGAAACGATAATCACAGGTATGGACGTCTAACGAAAATAATTTCTTACGGGTAACTTATACTCGTCTAGATTACATATACAAAACAGACTCAACAAAAAACAACCATTTTTGATCTCCGATGGCTATGCATAATTCTTCTGCTACTGACAATGAAGTAAATTTAAGAAGCATGAAAAATTTTAGTACATTTTCTCTTTGCATATCTTTAGCATGACAGCGACATAACGATTATAAATTCGTTATTATCAACTAATTTGGATGATGCATCAACAAATGTTTATATACCTGTGCTGAAAAATTCACAACAAACTAATGAATCATCCAATACAACTCAACCAATAACATCAAATGTTGTATATGATCAAAATAATCAAACAAATTCTGATAGTAGCCATGATTATATATTTATTCAACATGATTTACAAGAAACTACTAAACAACTTGAACAAATTTTATATTATTATCAACAAGACCTTACACAAGAATCTAATACATCATTTGATTGTAATCGGAACTTAATTACACGTCTTGTTGATCTCATTCGACCAGTATATTCTTTAAATCAAGAAAAAATGAAAAATTTAAATACATTAGTTGATGACATATCAGACTTACATGATAAGAGAATTGTTGAACAAAAAGAAAAAAATGAACAATTTCACCTTGAAATTTCACATTTAAAAAAATTGATAGTAACATCAGAAAATGAAGATAATACTAGTAGAAAAATCTATCGAATAAGTAAGATAATTTATGAAAGTATAATTTATTTAATTGATTTTAAATTTAGATTCATTAGTTGATTATGAAGAATGGATGGAACTAGAAGAGGAAACAAAAAAACTTCACAAATTAGTTGAACATCAACAAAATCAAATCAATGAACTTAACAAATTGATATCACAAGAAGGTGAATATGAAAGTGAATAATTGACTAACTAGAGAATCTTCTTAAATACTGTCTTCTGATTTCAATAGATTTTTAACTGTAAAACTTGTACATTTTTTCATGGATCCCAAATCATATTAGAATTTTGTTCAGAACATTATCTAGTTACTCTTTTTGATAAGTATGGAAGTTTGAACTTTTCTATAATGTATTTTAGAAACAGTTAAAAATGAAAAACACCATACAACTACTTATTCAATACGTCCATTAACTCGAGAATTACAAAATAATATTAAAACAAAATGTTGTGTATGTGATTATGAATATTCAAATACATGTAACGAAACTGAAATACAGAATCATGTTAAAAATTGTTTATCTACAATAAGTCTTGATAATCTTAATGTTTCTATCGAACGAATACAATTGGAATGTCCATTTTGTGATAAAAAATTATTAAACAATGGTGATATAGCTGATCTTGAACATTTGACAATATGTTGTAGTCAATTGCATGTATAATTTTATTGTGAAATAAAAATAATGTTTGGTTTTTTTCTTTTTATTTATTTATTATTTTTATACTAAAGGTTATTTATATTTATAAACTGGATGAATAGAATTGCTAATAGGTTTCAATTGTTATTGATCTGTTTCTTCATGCAAACAAATCATCGTATTGTGATGCTTTTTTGCATTCATTCATTTGTTAAAGATAAATTATTTATTGTTGACTTGATCTATCCTAGGTATACAAAGAAAATATAGAAATTGAAAAGATCAAAGACGTTTGGAGAATTAATATGAATCTAGACAAAATCAAATAAGTTATGATTATTTAAGCGTATCTTTTTTAACTTGTATGGAACATAGAAATACCATGAGGTTGGTTATTTATGAATTAATAGCAGAAAGTTGAGAGACCAAGCTTTTTGAACATTATTCAGTTTTTTTTTAAACTTATCTATGCAATATATGACAATATAAGATGCAACTACACAATTCTTTGGTCATTGTCATTTGATAATAAATATTTACTGAGAAATGCATCAGGTTATATCATCATGACTTACCTAATGTTTTCAAGCGATGATTCAGTATCAATTATGAAAAAACAAAGACAGAAGTATTTATCTTTAATGGAAAAAAAATGAAAATTATAGTAAAAATTGTCGTTCTCTCAGTAAGTTTTTCTTTCCATACTGATAGGTAAATTAAACGAAATCTAATTTTAGTAAAGAGATGATGAAAAAATTAGTATATTCCATAATGACGCGCAAAATACTTTACTATTTTTTTTATTAAGAGAAACTTCGTCAATATCATCTTTGCAATAGATCATTCTTCATAAGATAAAAACTAAATCTTCAACACGTCGTTGAATAGAAATTCTCTTGTGACCGACGAAATTTCCTATGAACAGTAAACCCATTGAACTAATAAAAGAAAGTTATAAGAAGCATTTCTTTTTCTTAATTGTATTCATATTTAAGATCCTAGTATGAAATATTCCAATGAAACAAAATGTATTTAGATTTAAGTGAACGAGTAAATGCACAGAGAGAAAGTTCGTTTCTTTTTCTTTATTTTATTTTATTTTTTGAAACTTATTAATTTCATTTATTTTGTATAGGCTCACATACATACATCCATTAGATTCGAATTACTTTTAACGATACCCAAGTAACGACGACAATGGTACATGCTGAATAAAATCCATCAAGGTAAAAATATGCTGACAAGTGTAATCATTTGTTTTTTTTTTTGCACATTGTATGACGACTTTTGTATAAAGACGACGAAGAAGAAGAAGAAGACGATTGACACGAAACAATCAAACTTTTATTTCTTTTATATGCATATAAACACAAACATTACAACATAAAATAGTGATCGAATAAAGTGTCTGTTTCCTATAATACGCATTCATGAACTATGGCACTACGATTCGGTATGTATTTATATTAAATTAAAAGTAGGAAGTTCAATTTGATGATTCATATCCTATATCGATTTCGAATGAGACTTTGTATATTTGAATATTTATCACATAAAAAATATTTCTTCCTACGTTCCTTTTTTTTTATTAAAACAATTAAATTGTATTTATATGAAAGGTGTTTATAATAATGTGAAAATGTAATGATGAAGTTTACAAGAAAACAATAGCCAATGAATGACACTCACGTTCTGAGGGAGCACATGCGCGTCTCTGCGAACGAGAATCGCTTTGATTATTTCAAAAATAAAAGAAAAGAATGGAAGAATAGACATAAGGTAAAGAGAAGAATGAATGTATGTATAGAGCAACAAAGCTTGTTGTTGTTCTTTTCGCGTCGTCATTGCTTACTGCAATTATTAAATAATGAAAAAAGGGCAAACGACAGTGGAATTGATACAATACCTTTCAATGAGTATTGTTTAAAAATTTCGTTTGATTTTATTGTTTGTTTTTGTTTTTTTTTTGTCCCTCTCTTCTCCTTCTGTTTTTTTTTCACTTTCATAGTTAGTACACTATCCTCTTGAAAAAAAACTGTTGTATGTTTGTATTCTACTCATCATTTTTTTATTAGTGACTAATTAATCTTATTTCTATTAATTAATACTAAAGTATTGTAATGCAACAATGCTGTAAATATTAATCAAAATCTTTGCAGCTTATCTTCTGGGTAAACTTCTGTTTTATCTTTGTAATGTACAGCTGATAAATTGTTTTTTTCTAAAAACAATAGAGAGAATATTAGAAGGTTTCTTATTTGAAAAACAGGGATAGAAAGAATATATTGTCTCATCGCTGCCTACCGTCTGCTGACATCATCGATATATATATATATATACATATATATGCGTTCGTCTATTATTCGTTTTTCTTTTCTATCTTGTCTAGTAAATTAACTCAACCCCACCTTTCCATAAACAATATGTTTCCACCAATCAATGCTCATCCGAGGCCTCCGTCAGAAGATTTACATGGTGTTAGCAGCGGTGGGGTAGCAGATATTAACTCGGCTTCAAAACAGCAACAAATTCGACGACAGCAGCTGACAATGGATCAGCAGCGACGAAGTCCACTACGAAGTAATTCGTTGTTGGCAACAACAGCAAATACAATATATAGATATGTTATGGTAGCAACTGCTGTTGCTATTTCAATATCTTTATCATTTGTTCAATCATTAATATTTTATTAAACAACAGCAGTTCTTCCTTAACACATCTATCAATAATCTATTTTCTTTCATTACAACTAACTAAAGCATGTTCTTGACTAATACTATACAAAAACAAAAAACTAATAATATATTTTAGACAACCAAAAAAAAAAACAATAATAAGAGAAATAATTTGTTTTTTTTTTTCTTATTTATTTTAGTCATTTATCGGTCAAGCGATTATTCTTGGAATGATCCTTCAAATAATGCAAATATTTCTAATCAACCATTACGTGCTGCTAGTCCAATAAAAACAAAATTATCAACATCGGCTCGTCAATTAGCTAATGGAATTTTACATGAAGCAACAAATAATTCAAATGTTCATCTGCCAATATCATCATCATTAACAGGTCATCAACAAAATATAAGAGATGATATAAATAATAGTGATTTACATTTATCATCTGCAGCAAAATCTCTTCGTACAACACGACTTCAACGTACAAATAGTCATTTAGATAAAGCTCCAGGACTAAATAGTTACGGTTTACCTATGCGAAGTGAAAGTTATCGTTCATCTCGTCTTGATTATGGTATGCGTTCACGTCATGCATCATCAAAACAACGAGCTTATGTTAATTCTAAAGCATCATCTCATGATGCAAATGGTGGTGATACTCATATAAATGGTACACAAGATGAAAATACATATTATCAACAACAACAACAACAACAACAAATGAATATGATGAGTAGTACACAGCGTTTAAATGGTTCAACATTTGATTTAACTACTAGTCGTAAACTATTTTCACCAAATAAATCTAATACATTTAATTATCCAGCGAATGGAACAGGTCATCAGAATTATTATAATTCAACACAAGAACTTCATCGTAGTGATACAAATATTGATCGAAATAATTTAACACGATTTGCTGCACGTGGTACAATATCAAAAGAACAATTAATAACAACACAAAAATATCGACAAACATCAAGTATACTAACAACAACAACACCAGCAGCAGGTACAACAACATCAAATACTCCAGCTATAATACAATCAGGTGAAAGACATCCATCGGCTCAATCATATAAATCTCGTGATCCAAATATATCTTACGCATATACAGATGTAAAAAAATATATTGAAGAAAATGATTTAATGTCACCAGAAAAAGAACAAATAATACGAAACTGGATAGGTGATGTTGAAAAACATCGACATCAATTACAAAAAATAGACTAAACATAGTTTTTTTTTTTTTTTAAATTTATTTATTTATTTTCTTTCTTTTTACAAAATCCAGTTTTGTTCTAGCCCATCGTGTCTTTCGTGTGACGTTAATTTTTTTTTTTTTTTATTATTAATTATATGCGTATATATAAATACAATAAAAGAAATGATTGTAGAATATTTTATGGTTTTTTTTTTTTGTTTTTCGATTGAAATGATTATGTTCAAGATTGTGATTTAATTATTTCGATCGATCGATCGATCGAGAATAGAATGAGCTAAGACACGTCAAATAGTCGTGTCTATTCTTCTTCCCGACTCGTTGAATAGCAATTAATTTAACATAACTATCATTTTCGTTCGTTGAGTATGTATGTGTGTGTATATAGATGTATATGTGGACATTGGTATCTACTTTTTTCTTTTTCTTTTCGTGTCGCTTTTCGATCCTCAAGTAAATATTAACTGTCTTATACGTCGCGCCTCAATATCAGTTACTATTGCAATAGCAAGAATCATTCGACAATAGTAAGAATGATGATTCGACTCAGTATATTTCTTACATTTATGGTTATACGTATTCATGCTGTTGTCGATCCTGTTGTAACAAATGTTGATCCAAAACATGAATTACTTACGGAAATAGCTGGCAGGTATGTAGGCAAAAAAAATTCCTGACTGAATCAAGTCCAAATGTTCGAATTATTTTTCTTTTTTTTTGCTATAACAATCTTTTTGTTGATTTTCAAAATATTTCCTCTGATTTCATAGAGATATTTAATAGAAAACAACAAAAAAAAAGTATCCACAATAGAAATGTACATATCTGTATATGTGGTTGTTGTTAATGACCATGATAGATTGAATAGGATCATTCAAAACATAATTAAACACATACATACTATTCTCATTTATCTTTTGTTCAATGAGATTTATTTAGAATGTATAGAATTTTATAATGATTTAGAAAACAAAGGATACAAATATACATGAACTTGAAAAATATTAGATTGTATCATTTAATGAATGACTTCTTTATGAAAAAAGTTTTTGATCTTTTTTATTTAGATTATTTTAGAAATAATCAAAAACATACGAAATCATGATGACATAGGAAAGAGAAATTATTAATATCAGAACTATAAGAAAAGAATATTTATTAGAAATTTTCTAATACATATTAAGATAAAATTTTAATTCTCTATTGTTTAGATATCGATTAGCAGCTCGACATTTACGTGAAACTCAATCGACATTACCATTTGAATTACAATTTCCTGTTCATGATATAATTAAAGTTGATGGTGCAACTAATGAATTTGTTATACGTGCAACAATACGTTTAGATTATCAATTTGAATTTCTTCATTGGGATTCTAATGATACTCGAAGTCGTTATCATGATATTGATGAAATTATATTAACAAAATCAACATTACAATCACTTTGGTTACCAGATTTACGTTTTATTGATGAAGATTCAATATCATTTAATATTGAACGTGAAACAGCTAAAATAAATCGTGATGGTCTTGTTACATGGATACGTCGTGGTTTAATAACAATAGCCTCACATATTGATTTAACTTATTATCCATTTGATCGACAATATTTTCATATAAATATGCAAAATACACAAAAAACTTTTAAATTACATTATCAAAAAAATATTCATAGTTTATCATCAACAACAAATTCACATTTAGCACGTTCATCTAGTGTATGGACAGCATTATTTGGTAATACAGAAATAAATCCAAATATAACAAATATACCAATAAATATACAACAAAATGAACAACCTATTAAAACAAGTACATCACGTGGTTGGTTTGTACGAACAATTGGTATTGAACCAAAAATAAATTCTAATGATAATGGAAGTTTAGATAATATAACAATATATTTATCAATACAACGTCGTCGTGAATCTCATATATATACAATTATATTACCAACATTATTTTTTTCATTTTTTATTTTTATTTTTTATTTTGCACCTGTTGAAGCACATCAACGTTTAATTATTGGTTTATTAAATACATTTGCAACATTAATTTTTCTTATTTATATGGATTATAAAATTTTAGCTGAACAATTATCACATAGTCCATTATTAATACAATATTTAACAATATTATTTATGATTGAAGCATTATCATTATTTTTTGATCATATTATACATTCAATATTTTATGGTGGAATTAATTTTGTATCAAATTGGTTACGTAAACGACATAAATATGATACACAACAACAACAACCAGCACGTTTATCACGTGTAACTATGTTAACACGTGCATTAAATAATCGTTTAAATCCAAATAGTTTAGATAATGATGGACAATTAAATGGTCCAACAGATATATTAATGAAACAATTAATTGAACGTGAAGAATCATTAAAATTTGAAGATCAAGAACGTTATCAATGGCGTAAACGTGCACGACTTAGTGAATGTTTATGTTGTTGGTTTTTCTTAGCTATTGTTATTGCTGCAGCTATATGCGTTTTTCTTATTGTACCATCATTGGGTTTAAAAAAATAATTTAAAACAAAAAAAAAACATTTTTAAAATTACAATTTCATTTTTACTTGTATGTTTATTGGAATAATAAATATATCGAAAATGGGTGTTTTACCACTATGTATAAAAAAAGAAAATGTTATAGTTTTTCTAAGATTGATTTATATAGTTTATTCAGATTAGAAAATTTTAATAGTACTGGTATGCAAAGAATTTGTCTATAGGAGAGCTTAACACCATCAAAATTTTCAATGGATGGACTTGTGGCAAAGTGTAACTGTTGTGGTTTCGATGGTGTCGAACTCGGATCTGAAGTTGGAAATTTTCTCTTAATCGAGTTCGAAAATTAAAAACCCGATCAACTCTAAATACCATGATACTTTTTTTTCTGCATGCTTCATTTTTTATTCTATAAGAAGGTAGAACTTCTGTCTTTAGGGAAACAAAAATTATATTGATGTATACATTAAGAAAAATAAAACTTTCTCAGAAATATTAGATAAGCTGAGAATGAATATTTTGGATCATATTCCTAATTATATTTTATTGATAAATCAATACATTTCATACACTTTTGAAGTTAAATATGAAATGAAAATAGTAGATTTATAGATTTTTCTTAGAGAAAGTTGCACTGAACAATATTCTTATGATATGCATCACTATTCCTTTTCCTATTTACTTAATGGCTTTGCAAATACTAAAAAATCATATAAAGTCTTACCTTTCATTATATTTTGATTTATGGTCTTGTTTTATTGAACCGGCACTAATCTTTGATTCATTCAGTATAATAATTTTCTGAAAAAAAACAGCAACAATTAATACTCTATTAAAATAACTCAAACAAATTCGTTATACAAGAGCACAATATTTTAATAGCTCATCTGTGGTGGTGTGGGGTATCGATGTCAGTGAAGAGAAGTTCCATACCTACACCCTTATTGGCTACTCTCAGAAAAAAGTCAACGTACAGTTATCTCTTGTTTTTCTCTTTCCCGTGATTCGATCTTTGATAAATTGTAAGTTTTCGATTAGTTGAAAATAGCATTATGTTAACAAAAAAAAGAACTTGAATAGTTAATTAACAAACAAAACTTTTCATTCCAGTATGTGAACGAGATCAAGCAAGAATATGTTCTATGTCATCAATGTGAGAAACTACGAGTCCACGTTCTTATGAATCCATACCGACAGCTTCCTACTTAGGTTTGTATTTATGTCGTGGTGAGATAATACTTCTTGTTGAAGTTATTAAACATTAACCAAACAGTAAACAATAACGAATAGATTTATGATACTATATTGAGTTCACAAATTCTATGCCGAGATAGATAAAAGCGTGAGTTTATTTGATTTACTACTTAATATTGTGTTTTATAGCTGTTCGTATGTAGATCCTGCGTAAATAAAGTCATTGAAATTACTCATTTTTTTTATTAGTCGGTCAAGCAAATGTCGACACTTATAATAGAATCCTGCGAGATCTTGAAGAAAAAAACATTCTGACAACAAATTGTATAAAACATTCTATTTGAAAAGAATATAATGTTAGAAAGTTATACAGGTCGTCTTCTATGTATATACCAATCACAGATAAATAGCACGTCTAAACAGCTTACAATAGTTCTAGCAAAACAGAGTGAATAAATATGTGCAACGCACAAAAATTAACCATGTATTTAATAAGATCTACACACATAAACTATTGCTCGGACTTCAATACACGAGTTTTGTATAGACATAGGAGAAAACAAACTAACTTTAATGCTTTGGTATTATATGCATGAGAATTAATTAATACACAGATGTTAGCATTAAGTTAACATTAATTTTAATTCTAATATATATGCTACCTGTAGCTGTATCTCAGAGAGTTTGTGTGCAAAAGTTTCTGATAATAAAACAATGATATTTTTATAGCCAGAATCGTCATTGCCAAAATAGAATAAAAGTTTTAGGTTTTGAAAACTTCTAAGCTTAAGTTGTCTGAGATCTAGTCGTCGATAAAACAAACCTTGGGGATAATGATATTGCTAATTCTAAGATGACACTGTCACAAAACAGCCGACCAACAGAATTTTTTAACATGAAATATCAATTTGAAAAAGAATAATCCATATTTATTGTAATGTTCTTGCTAAGAGAATATTGAAAAATAAAATTGACTCGCTTTCTTCTTGAGGATATACGGTATAGGTCAAATCAATATTAATTTTCAACTTTTACTATAGGGAAAATCATGATAATAAGTATTCCTTACCGCGAGCACATTTTGCTATATTGAATCATGCATCATAAAGAAAATTTAAACTTAGAAATATAGTGTTGAGTATACACAAAGTCAAATAAAATCATCTATTAGCTGGATAACTGTAATAACGACTGTGTATATGTAAGTATAGTTTTGTAGTTGAACTAGTTTATAATTAAAAAACTCAAATGAGTAATAGTTAAACAAAGAAATATCATATTCTAAGTTGAG